TATTAATTCTATCTTTAGTTCTAGCAGTGTATAAAAAACCTGAAGCAATAGACCAATGGCCTGTGGGTAGACGTTATCATGCAGGTGCTATTATTATAACTGGATCAGGCTGTCCTATGTTAGTGATAAGTGGTGGGTTGGATAAGAATAATGATACATTAGATGATTGTTGGATTTTTAACATCACTCAACATTCCTGGACAAAGGTATGTTAATAAGATCTCTAATACTATAGTGAGATACATGTAAGATTATCAATTTATTTCAAACAGTTAGATGTACCTCACTCTGTTAGTAAGAGATGGAGTCATTCTGTCTCAGTGTTCATTATGAGTCCTCATTTTGTTTGGATAATATAACTGTTGGAGGATGTGTTGATAGAAATGGAATATTTGCTACTAATCGTAACATTGCCATGTTAACAGAACTTGGTCAGTTGCATTCATGTAAATTTTAGTTTTACATCAGTTGAAGTGGAGACTCTTCACATCTATTAAATTTTATTATTATTACATTTTTAGTTAATGACTGCAGGGGAAAGTGTCAAGTAGGTGGTACATATGATTCTAAATTGATGACTGGGGAACATTACAAGAAGAAGTATCAGCAGCAACTACAGACAGGAAGAAGAATATGGTTGGAGGAGTACCAGAAACCAAGAAAAGGAGATACAGCTGATATTGAACAAACTGTACAAACTCTTATGAAGAGTCTTGAAGAGAAAGAGAGAGAAGCACAAGCTTATCATCAACAACTGGAGCAGAAGGATATGGAGCTACTGGAGAAAGATAGGGTAGTACAAGAGAAGGATAGGGAGCTACAGGAGAAGGATAGGGAGCTACGTGAGTCTGAAGAGGCAGTTCGTAGGTACCAGCAACAAGCACTTACTGATGATCACTGGGTTATTGATAATGATGAGTTGACTTTGACAATGGAGGAGTTAGGAAGAGGATCTTATGCTGTCGTTACAGTTGGTATTTTAGAGGCAAAAGAGTAGCTGTCAAGTCACTTCATACTATCATCATCTCAGATGTCAATTTAGCTCGTTTCTCCAGGGAAATGAGTATAGCATCACTAGTGCGTCATCCTAACCTGGTCCAGTTTATTGGTGCAACTAAAGTGGGTAATCCTCTCATCTTGACTGAGCTGATGAGCACAAGTATTTGTGAGGAGCTTCACAGAAACCGATTAACCAATCAACAGATTCTGAGTATTGCTCAAGATGTAGCTTTAGGCCTCAACTACCTTCACCTGTTTAAGCCTCAGCCTATTATTCACAGAGATGTGAGCAGTCCTAACGTATTATTGAAGCCTTGCACTGGAGCTACTGGTTATGAAGCTAAAGTAGCAGATTATGGTACAGCTAAATTGCATCAAGGCACTGGTAGTACTGTTATGCCAGGCAATCCAGCATATGCTGCACCAGAAGCTCGTGATCCTGATCAACACAGTCCAGCAATGGATGTTTACAGTTACTCTGTTCTCCTTATGGAAATGAATTTGCACTCTCAACCAGAAATGACTACAACAGAGAGAGAAGTACAATCTGGTAGTGTCTCCTGGTCTGATATGAAGTCTCTCATACAAAGAGGACTTAATGTTGATCCTAGAGCTCGTCCTACTATGGCTCAAGTAATAGAGTCATTGGAAAGGATGAACATTTGATACATAAACCGCTGCATATTCTTAGCTTACAAGCATACTACCTTGTAATCTTTTTTTGAGTTTAGAATAATTTTTGCTGAATTTTGTACCTTATTATCCTATTCCAATTTCTTTGTCTCTCCCAATTCCAGTTTTTTTCTCTTAATTTTGTAATTTTAATCAGAAAGTCCAGCTAATCGTCAACCGTGTAACTTAGTTACTCAAAGCAAAGACATTCTTTGCTCAGAGTACATGTATGATGTAAGTTTAGCCTACTTTATTGTATCATACAAAAAATTAGAAAAAAAAGCAAATTAAAATAATAATAATAATTATTATTATTAATATTATTGATGTACATGTTCTTAACTCTCCATCTCCACTTCAGCTATTTCTTCTTCCCGTAGCTGAGGAGGGAGCATAGATAATAGAGTAAAGGAAAAGTTTTTTTCCTTTACTCTATTATCTATGGGAGGGAGTGTACTAGTATCAACCACGCCTCCATTACCCAGTGCTCACCCGATGCGTACAGGAAATATTTCATAATAGTATTGTAGAACATACTGAAATGTTCCTGAAATGTAGTTGTACA